GAACATCGTCATCTTCAACAAACAATTTACCTGAAAATGACCAGATCTTTTTAACACGGATAAGTAGCGTCGTCTTCAACATCAAATTATCTCTAGATTGACCCGATCTCCTCAACGCGAAGGAGTAGTGTCATCCACAGACAATCAGACTTCCTCAACGCTAAGGAACCGTGTTATCTCCAAATTATCTCCAGATTAACCCGACTTCCTTAACGAGAATGAACAACATCATCTTCAATAAACAATTTATTTGAAAGTGACCAGATCTCTTCAACACGGATGAGCAGAGTCGTCTTCAACACCAAATTATCTCCATATTGACTTGATTCCCTCAACAAGAAGGAACAACGACATCTTCAAAAGGCCAGACCTCTTCAACATGGATGAACAGTGTCGTCTTTAACACTAAATTATATCCAGATTTACTCGAAGTCCTCAACATGAAGGAACACTGTAGTCTTTAAATTCTCTATTTCCATACAAAGAATTGGAGCTCCAGATACAGAGCTAACATCAGAGCTAGACAAAATTAGGCCATTATTTGTCTTTGCTTCATCATTGTTTACACAACAGACGAGCAAAGAGGGGAAGCTGTAATACTCTAATTTTGTCTAGGGACAAACAGGGGACCACTTCAACTTCCACGCTCGCCTGACATCATCACCAGCGAGATTCGCGCCGATCACTCCTACATGCACTGACTGTTAGCGTGATTTTCGCTGAAATCAAATCCCCCTTTTCTCTCTCGTCCATGTAACAAAAAGCAGAGGAGATGGGTTTTGTTTTTTCCTCTTTCTTGTAAACCCAAAACCGGGTATAAAACCCCATCAAGACAATGTAAAAAAGGGGGAGAAAGCAGCTTGTAACCATTCGGAAAAAAATCAATACACAAAAAAAATCATATCCATAAGCAGTATTTTTCTCAAAGGTATTTTCATTTTTTTACATGCATGTATAGTTTTGAAAGAATAAAATAAGAATAGCGAATTCGGTTTACCTGGCTGCTGGTGTGCTCGTCGGAGTAACAACGTTGCCGGGAAAAAGTTCGTCGTTCGCCAGGATTGAGTTTGAGTGGTCTGCAATTTGACCTTTGTTTTCTGGCCAGTGTTGCGTGAAAAGGGGAGGGGGCAAACTGTTTGGTTTTGCTGGAAACAAAATATAGGGAATGCTTTAAAATCAATTTTGGGTTAATTTCACCTATGGTCCCTCATTTTCTTGTCATTGTTTTACATTGGATGCTTAAAGTGTTGGGTTATTCATGATGAAACCCTCCTATGTTTAGAGATTTTTACGAAATGACCACCAAATTTCTGCATAAAATCACGTTAAACCCCCTCAAATGTTGTCGTGTTTTTACATTCCATTCCCTAAAGCTTTACATTTTATTTATTTCATTTTAACATTTTTGGTTTCATTATTTTTTTATTTAGTCACTAACATGTTATATTTCTTACTTTATTTATTTTTGATTTAGACACTTTACTTTCTGTTATTTTATTTTAGTTACTAACTTACTAATATTTTATTTTATTGCATAAACTAACCCCCTAACTTTTAAATTTATGCAAATTGTTTTTGTTTCTTTTACTTTATTTTATCTATTTTTCAGTACTTTAAATTTCAGCACTTTATTTTTCTACTTTTTAATTTTCCAGCATTTTATTTCAGTCCTTTTTATTTCCAACACTTAGTTTTTAGTATTTGCACTTAGGCATCTTAACTTATTATTTCATTTTTATTTTAGTCATTGATTTTGCTTGTGATATATTTATATTTATGTTTTAGTCTTATTTATTCACACTCTTGTTTATATGGTATTTTAAATCTTGGTGGTTAATTTAGGAAGCTTGTATATTATTCCCTTATTTATGTACATATTTGGATTATCATTTACACCCTTGTTATAAATCATCATTGTTTTCTAATATACAAAAATAAAAAGAAATTTTAATATGAGGGAAATCTACGAAGATATCTCCCAACTAAAGGGAATGTATATTTTCGGGGATTTTTCGCATAAATGTTTGTTTTATATCTGATATTTTTCTTTGTTCATCGTTTAGTTATTTCGAGTATTTTTCATCACTTTTGCAATTTTATTTTATTTTATTATCTTTACGAAAATTGCGAAATAATGTCTTTCTGTGAGGGGAATCCATGTGAAAGTCTCCTAACTACAAAGGAAGTACGTTCCCAAGGATTGTTTACTCAAAAGCGCATTCGTTATCCGAAAGTTGACACTTTTTGAATAAAATCAAATGAATAACATGATCGTAATTTAAATATATTTTCGAGTTTGTAATTCTCAATATTAAAACAATATATAATCGTTTAGGTACCAAAATTTGGGCGTTGTGGGGGTGCTCACCCTTCCCCACACGTAATCGACTCCCGAACTCTTAAAAATAATTTTTTTGGTAAAACGCAGACTATTTTTTGTCGTTTAAGGTTTCCAACCTACCTAACTTAAAGGTTGGCGGCGACTCTAAAATCAAATTGTTTTCAAAATTAAATTTCACCGCCTTCCCCGAATTTAAATTTATTTCAAGTCTAACGGATCCCCGAGGGAGACGTTATGACAAACGACATTACGACATGGCACACGATATGAAAGCGACATTATTTTTAAAAAAAACTAAATTTATACCAAATCAACACCGTTTTTTCATCTATATAAAATCCAAAAAATCCTTCATTTTCCTTTTTTCTTCTCTTCTTCTTTTTATCTCTTTTATTTTCTCTCAACATGGTAGAACTCTGACCACTGTTCGTCGTAGCTGACCACCGCATCGGTCACCGTCGATCATCGTTGATAGTGATCAATTAGCCCCAAAAGTTTTCACCTCGTTTTTCCCTCTTCAACGCAAATCTAGTATCCAATTAACCTAAAAATCTCTTAAATTTCATGGATCTAGCGTTGAATCTTTTGATCTCTTTTTTGCCTCTTTAAATGTTATAGAATTTGAGTTCAAACTTGTAAGCATTTTAAATCTCTTGTGTTCTCCCTTCTTTCATTTCTAAAATTTTTTTTGCTTTTAATTTCTCTTCATTTTTGTTACTTTTGATTTTCTCTTCTGTTTCTTTTAAGTTCTCCCCTTCGTCCAGGGTTACTAAGTTCTCTTTTTCCCCTTTGCTTTTAAGATGCTTACTCTGGTTACCGTGACAAACAGACAATAACATGGTGGGAGTTTGAGAGAGAGGGATGGGTTGTAATTTGGTATTAGGGTTTAAGAATAAATTTTAAGAATTTTTATTTTCTTTTGAATGTTACATGTCATAATTAAATATTAATATATATATTTTTATATATATCATTATATATTAATAAAAAAAATGTCATGTCAACCGATCATTACAAGTTTAACGTCTGAGAGGGTAAAATAATTTAATTTATAAAATTCAGTGAACAAAATATTAAAATTAAAAGTTATGTGAGTAAAATAAAAGAGATAATAAATTTTAATAAGAAACGATATAATTTACCCTATAAAAACAGTAATCGAGTTGTAAGTAATCCAAAACATGTTTAATGACCTAATTCGTATCCACTAACTGTAATCAAAGTTATATGATAATTAATAGGAGAGGAAACAAAAGATATTATTGAGAATGTATGGATCAGAATTTTATATTAAAATATAACTTTTTTAAAATAAATTAAAAATTTAAGCATATAAAATTATAAAAATTTAACTCAGCCATAGGCAGGCTTAGATCAAGTAGTCCAAACCTCAGCTATTTGTAAGTATCGTCTTTCAAGCCTCGGAAGTGATTCAAAAGAGGGTTCAACTATGAATTTATTATAGTAGAAATTAAAATATTTTTTATTTTTATAAATTTAGATTTTTAATTGAGTGATTGGTAAATTTTTTATTTAAAAAATATATTTCTAATGTTAATTAATATTTAAAAATTAATTAACAGGGCAAGGTTCCTTAGCCCATGAAGTTTCGTCACTGAGCTTAAGTTGTTCTTACTCGTATTATTATTGTCAATTGAAGAATATATATATATATATATATTGGGTTGATTTGTTAAGTCTATCGATTATTAAAAGTTACAAAATACTTATTCGATTATTCATTTATTTTAATGTCGCTTTTTTTTATTAAAATATTGATAGTCGTCTGAATTAGACGCTAACATATCAACTAGTATATGATATTATTTTAAGATTATGAGATCATATTTTATCATATCTCAGTTAGTAAGTTAATTTCTAACTTAGATTGTAGACAATTTTTAACCAAAAAATGATGAGTTTGAAACATATGAATAATTTAGTGACTATTTTATATCTTTTAATAGTTACGGACTCAACAAGCAATGTCTTATAATTAGGAAATTATTTTATAATTTTTAACAATTAGAAAATTCAAAATAACATCACCCTATTAGGGGTGTAAACGAGCCGAGTCGAACTCGAGTAATGTTAAGCTCGACTCGATTCGAAAACTCAGAAATAGAGCTCGACTCGACTCGAAAACTCGCGAGCTTTAAATTTTTAAGCTCGACTCGAACTCAAAATCCTGAACTGAAGCTCGTGAGCATCTCGAAAATATTCGAAATGAAAAAAAAAATCTTAAACTTAACAAGATTGAATCCTCAAACTCAAACTCGAACTTGAACTTTAAATACATGAAAGCCTTATTGTATTTTTTTAAAAAAAATCAACACATAAAATGTTAATATTATTAATAATTTTTTTTAAAAAAAATAAAATCTTAACGTATTATATTTTCGAGCTGCTTACGAGCTTTTCGTGTCGAGTATCAATTAGTTCCTTTCGACTCATTAAGAATTCGAGTTGAGCTCAAGTTCGAGTCGAATTCATTCGATCTGAGTATTTATCTGATTTCATTTAAAGTCCTATACCTTATAATTTGGGACCATTTGTGTACTTGTATATTCGTATGTGTAATTAAAAAAAAATAAAGAGCATTTTCTACTTTTTAAAGCGTCGTTTCAAGAATTGTAAATTTGTAATTCCTTGTTGCTATTTGTATCTGGAGCAGCTGCCCTGAGTTTCTCAAAAGAGAAGAAACACACAAAATAACCTAAAACCGTGACACGACATCGTTCCCCGTTCTCAGATCTGACGGAAAGAGCGAACTGAGACTGTTTGTTTGTAGAGGTGTATCCCGGAGAAAGGATGAGCGGGAAAGGAGGCGGAGGCGGCGGTGGCGGTGGCGGAAATAATGGGTTAAGGAAGGGTAATAATAATACTGGACTTTCAGGTATTCCGCCTGGGTCTCGGAAGATGGTCCAGAGCTTGAAAGAGATTGTTAACTGCCCTGAACCCGAGATCTATGCTATGCTTAAAGAGTGTAACATGGACCCTAACGAGGCCTTCAACCGTCTCCTCTCTCAAGGTTCTCCTGCCTTTTCTATTTTATTTTTATTTTTTAGTATTTTCTTCGATTTTAGTGGGTGTTTTGTTGATAAAAACCATGTTTAGTTCTTGTTATGCGAAGGGTGACTGCTGGGTTTCTGGGCTCGGTGTTTAGCTTAGAGTGTAAAGATAAAATCTACTTAATTGCTAGGGTTCTTGGTTGGCTCGGAGGTTTTTAGCTTGAGTGTATTTCCAGTAATAACATTATTATAATATATAAGCATTTGCTGATAGTTTATTTGCGTATTCCATTTCCATGAAATAATGTTATTTATTTCGGAACCGGAAGTAGAAGCCTAAAGACATATATTTCGAGGAGATATCATCACTAATATAATTCTCGATTGAATGCAAAAGTATGAGTTACTTTGCTTCATAACAATGGGGCAGCTGAAGTTTTGCGTTTTAACTCTTCTAATGATACTTTATTTCGTTGCTGATAAGATATTTGCGAAACGTGTAGATCCTTTTAACGAGGTGAAGAGCAAACGGGAAAAGAAAAAAGAGGTGTGTGCCGGTCCAAACTATGCTAAATGGTTGTTTTTTGTGAATCTTGAGTTTGCTTTGAGAACCAATAGACCATACTATATTTGCCGCCTCGTATTCTTCCTGTTGCACCATTTGAGCAAAATATAGGGCTGAGTGTCAATCATATAGGTCATGCATATGTCACAGATTGTCTGTTGCTTTTAGCATTTCAAACTGAGTTTTAATTGAATTCACTTTTCAGAGGACAACCTTTATCTTTGAAAGCTTCTAATATTTTGTAACCATTGCATTTGGTGGTTCTTGTTATCTATGTTGACCTTTTTTTCTTCCCTTTTGTTCCAGAGCAAGGACACGGTCGATCCAAGGCCTCGTGGTGTCAATAACCCTGGGAGTCGTGGTGGTAGGAGTGGTTCAGACCGATATATTGGGGGTGGTGGCTCATCCCATTACTATTCAAATGGTATGACTATGAACATACTCTAATGCTGCTTTGGAGAACTGTTAGTTATACTCCATTAAAGAAATTATTTAGAACACTTATAGATGAATTCTTATTGATTGAGTACTTTTTCTGGTTAGAGTCTGGCCCATCACATGGTAAACCTTCACAGAAGAGAGAAAATGGAACTCATGCAGTTGCAGCCTCTTCATCCTATGCATCCAGTATGCAAGGAAACAGCAAGAATCATCGACCTACATCGCACAGGTATTTACTATTAACAGTCTCAAAAGTGAGAGTTCCACCATGTCTAGTCAACCAAGGAGCTGAAAAGCATCCATAAGTTTTGAATTCTAGTGAGTAATGACTAATGACCTGAATGGGTTGTCTTGCTAGCCTTCTCTTTTTTTCGTTCATGCCATTGTATTATTTATTTTTCTAATATGATACCTATTTATACCAAATCATTCTTAATGAAATTAGTTTACTTCCACCATTAATCCTCTCTGGGTAAGTGTTTGAAATGATCATTGTGTCAAAGATGGCTAGTTTAGGAAGGAAAGATGGGAAATAGTTCCTTATAATTCTCAAAGCATCTTGACAGGAGTTTGGAAATGAGGCACTCAAACATTTGTCAATAACATCTTTTCAGAATTTTAGTTGGCCGAATTTAGTTTTCCTTTCCCTATCTTAACTAGAGTTCTTGCTGGTTTTGCAGTGAAGTTGTGGTTTCAGAACATAAAATGTCCACAGTAGGTTTAGGTGATGTGATTTCTTCTGCATCACAGCCTACTGGATATCAATCTGCCTGGGTGAGGGTTCCAGGTCAGGTATCAATGGCTGATATCGTGAAGATGGGCATTCCACAAAACAAGGCTTCTGCCCTGCCAAACTCTTCTCAACAAAGCACTAATAATAGGCAACATGCGGTACCTCCTTCGGCCGCATTACATTCCAACTTACAGGAACATGTTTCCAAGGTGTCAGATATTACTTATGAGCCTGATGTCAACAAAAACCAGCATGTTTCTCCAAGGGATGAATGGCCCCCCATTGAGAACCCATCTGCTGCTAGTGTGACCTCTGTCATAGAAGCACCTTCAGAATCTGGACTTTATGCTAATGCATCTAACTTGCCTTGGGGTAGAACTAATCAACACTTAAAGTCCCAGTTGGAGGAAGCTCATGCAGTAGATGATGGTCCTCTTGAAACCATCAATAGTGACCATGTTAGGTCCCCTTCTATATCAAGTAGAAATATACAAGAGGATAATTCTAGAGGTTCATCACTTTATGATAACGACTCGTATAAGGATATGGATTCCTATCAGCCTCAAGGACATGCCTTTGAGAATGATGACGGTTAGTGTAGTGCTTTTAATCACTCAATTTTTTTCATTTCATGATGAAGGTAGTATACTGCTGTATACTGATGAAGGCATACACTGATTCCAATTTCTTTGACAACCCATTTCTGATTGTCTTGCCATGTGGGTGTGTATGTTTTATGGCTGCTGAATTATTTATGTTGCCTCTCCCTTCCCAATGACAGTATCATATGTTCCTAGCTTCTGAATTTTATCATTTCCCCTTTATATACTGTATGAATTTGTGAACCTGAACTAAAAAAAGCTATCGGATGGATGATAGAAACAATTGAGTTATTTGGTTTTATTAGGGGGTGGCAGCTAGGGAAGGTTTATGAAATACTTGCACCTTTCTTGGCTCCGTCCTTTTTTATCCCCCCCCACCGTCCTCCCCAAATAATGGATTCATCATGAGTATAGATTTAGTTCATACCTAATTGTTATCTGCTATGAATGTTTTTTGGACTTAACACCCTTCTTTCTTCTTACCTCAGCTGAAGATGGTTCTTCATCGAACTCTAAAGCTGCCATCAAGAAATGGTCAGGGAAGAAGAATCAATTTCCGGGAGTAGCAATATCAGATTTGGAAAAGAAAATTCAGAAGCTTGAGGAAGACGCCCAGCAGCTGAATAACAGCTCTGTTCAGGGGATTGCTAAAGAGCTTAGTGTTTGTAGAGCAGAGTTATGGAGACTTCACAGAATTGAGGAGCAGATTTGGCTTCAAAATTCTAGGAAGAAGTGGCTTAATGATGGGGACCGAAACACAAGATTCTTTCATACTTGTGCTTCAGTTAGGAGGAAACGAAATGCTCTGAATGCTTTAATTGTTGATGGGAATACTACTCACGATCCAATTGTTATTAAAGCCAAGGTCAAAGATCATTTTTTCAAAATTTATAATGATCGGTCTACTTTAGAAGTTGAAGATATTGGTTTGGTCTTCCCCAGAATTTCTTTTGAACAGAATATGCTTTTAGAGAAGGAGTTTTCCGAGGAGGAGGTTTGGGAAACTCTAAAGTCTTGTGATAGTAATAAAGCTCCGGGGCCCGATGGATTGAATTTGGGTTTTTTTAAAAGGTTTTGGTCTGTTCTTAAGGGGAATATTATGCAGTTTTTTCACAGATTTTTTGTAGGGAAAGAATGGGAACATGGTATTAACCATACTTTTATTACCCTTATTCCTAAGGAATCTAACATTGGAAGTCTTGATGATTATAGACCTATAAGCCTAGTAGGAGGAGTGTATAAGATATTATCCAAGTGTCTTTCAAGGAGGCTTAGAAGTTGTATAGAAGATCTTATAAGCCCGACTCAATTCGCTTTTATTCCCGGTAGACAAATTTTGGACTGCTCACTCATTGCTAACGAGGGTATTGATTATTGGAGGAAGAAAGGGCTAAAGGGTTGTGTGTTTAAAGTTGATTTCAAAAAGGCATACGATACGGTTGACTGGCCTATCTTGTTCAAAGTGATGGAAAAAATGGGTTTTGGTTTCACATGGATAAGTTGGATTAGGAGATGTGTTTCTACAGCTTCAATCTCAGTGTTAGTTAATGGGGTTCCATCCGAGGAGTTTCCAATGGCCAAGGGTCTTAGACAGGGATGTTCACTCTCGCCTTTACTTTTTAACTTAGTGGGGGAATTATTGAATCTTTTAATTCGAAGAGCTGTTTCGGAGGGTTTATTTGCTGGTTTGACAGTTGGAAAGGAGGAGGGGTCTTTTAATCTTTCACACTTGCAGTTTGCGGATGACTTAATTATTTTCTGTGGAGCTTCGAAGACTCAAATTATGAATGTGAAGAGGGTGCTTAGAGTATTCGAGGTTATGTCAGGGCTGCAACTAAACCTGAAGAAAAGCAGACTCTTCGGGATTAATATATCCCAACAGGAGGTTAAAACTTGGGCAGATTCTATCGGTTGTTTGGTGGGAAACTTTCCATCTAATTATCTAGGCCTCCCTCTAGGTGCAACTAGGAATTCCTCTGTTATCTGGGAACCAGTGGTACAGAATTTTCACTCTAAATTAGCAGGTTGGAAGGCTGCTACTCTTTCTTTAGCAGGGAGACTGGTTTTGATCAAATCCGTTCTGTCCTCACTACCTACGTATTTTTTGTCTATTTTTAAGATTCCAGCTTCTATCCTCAAGACTCTCAATTCTATTATGTCTAATTTCTTATGGGGAGGGGGCAATGGTATTAAGAAGATACACTGGGTTAAATGGGATGATGTCTGCAAATCAAAGACTGAGGGAGGCTTGGGAGTTCGGAATCTGATTTTTATGAACAGAGCATTGCTAGGGAAATGGTCTTGGAGGTTTGCAAATGAGAGAAATTATGTTTGGAGAAATTTTATTTGTAGCAAATACAATATTGACTCTTCTAGACTGTTGTTTGACAGCAAGATTCCTTCTCAATCCTCCTGGTTGTGGAGATCAGTGGTTAATAACCATTTCAAACAAGACTCATTTGGTTGTAAGTTTCGTAGTTTGTTCAAGTTTTATGTCGGAAATGGTAAGCATGTTCGATTTTGGCAAGATAGTTGGGCTGCTGATTTTCCACTTCAGATTCTATTTTCTAGACTGTTTTCACTGTCAACTAATAAATTCGGTAAACTTTGTGAGTTCGGGGAATTTATTTCTTCGGGTTGGATTTGGGATGTTAAAGTTCGAAGAAATTTAAACGATTGGGAGCTTGAACAATGGTGCAATTTGGTGAGCATCATTTCTTCTTTCTCTATATCTATTGATTCTAGCGATGGATTGATCTGGAAAGGCAGTGGGGATGGGGTTTATACAGTCGGTTCTTGTATTAAGAGTTGTGCTTCAATTTCAGAAGAGACTCATTTCTGGAACAAGATTGTTTGGAGAGGATTGGTTCCCCCTAGAGTTGAAACATTAGTTTGGCAAATTGTGCTTCAAAAAATTGCAGTTAAATCCGAATTGGTTAAAAGAGGAGTTCAAGGTATTGAGGATGGCTTATGTCCTCTTTGTAAAATGGTTGAAGAATCTTCTTCGCATCTGTTCTTCTCCTGTTCGGTTGCGTGGTCTTTGTGGAATAAATTTCTAAATTTCTGGAGATTTAGTTCTGTGTTTTCTGCAGAAGCAAAAAATTTTCTTCTTGCTTGGGATGAGTTGAAATCTAATTCGGTAATTTGGACTTTCATTCCAGGGGCTGTTATTTGGACAATCTGGAAATTCAGGAATTACATAGTTTTTGAAGGGGGGAAGCTCGATCAGACTGAATTATTCTTCTTAACAAGAGTTAGGCTGGCCTCTTGGTATTTAGCAAAGAATAAGGATGTTTCTATTCCTAAGGACTCCTTAATCTCTGATCCTTCTATAGGGGATTCTTACTCGTCCTACAATTTCTTGAAGTCTTCCATAACCCCTTGGTTACCTCCCCCTACGGGTTTCATCAAGTTGAATGTGGATGCAGCAATTAGTTGTGATTGGGAAAAATCAGGTCTGGGTGGTCTTATGAGGGATCATTCTGGTGCAATCCTTGGTTCTTTTCAGGAACCGGATGGTTCTGGACCTCCAACATTGAAGGAACTTAAAGCTATCCAAAGGGGTATCTCTTTCTTTACCTCTGTCCTAGGGAGAGTTCAAGATAGGTTGATCATAGAGAGTGATAGCAGAGTTGCAGTAGACTGGATCAATAAGGTTGTCCCATGTCCAGCTGTTTATGGTTTCATTGTTAGAGATATTGTTGAGTGTCTTAAAACCGTCGGGGGGGTTGTTAGATGGATTGCAAGGACAGCTAATGTGGATGCCGATGCTCTAGCAAAGGCTGGTATAGGTTGATTATTATGTTGTTCACTTCTATAGTTCGGTTTTAAGGCTCAAGAATTGTTGTAAGGGTATTTCTTGGATTTTTCTTTCCAAGGTTGTAATTCTTATTTTCTTCAATGAAATTATAAGGCACTCTTTTCCTCCTTCCCATGATTAAGGAGCTTCTTTACAAGCTTCATTAATCAAGAAGGAGGTTTTTAAAGAGACCTTCAAATCTTATCAAAAAAAAGATGGTTCTTCATCGGTTGCTGTAAATTTGCTGCAACTTAATTTAGATAATGATGATCGGGAGCCCCCAACTGAAGAGGATAATCCTTCTGTAATAATTCCAAATCATTTACAAGTCCACACCCAGAACTGTTCGCATTTGAGTTTCGGAAGTTTTGGACCTGGCATTGGTTCTGCATTTTCTGGCCCATTTGCATCAATGGCCTCAAAGAATAATTTGGACAAGGTTCCTGAAGCAGCAGATGCCTCATCTATGACTATCGGGCACTCAGATAATAGGTATGCTCTTCTTAAGTTCTGAGTTCCTTGTTTTACTTATTTGTTCCTTACAATTATGTAAAAACTTTTGCTTCCAGAGATACCGAGTATTATGGTGACGACCATCTCAGAAGTAACTCGGAGGGAAATATAATAAATAGAAGTAACACGAGCACTGGGAATTATGAGGTACCTGAAGATTCTCGACCAGAGATTTTGAAACAGGATGCTTCTGAAGCTGCCCAAGGGAGCCAATATGCTTTTCCTCCGTCTGCACCTGGTTATAACTATGAAAACCCAGAGCAATTAAACCCTGCTTTCACTCACATGCAGACAAGCGCTCAAATGCAAAATCTCAATCCTTTCTCAAGTGTAATGGTAATGCATCTTTACTACACAAAAAAATTATCATTCCATGCTGACGATTCAACCATATTCCTTACAGTTGGATTTGAAAATTTATTTCATATGTAAATTTTTGCTAGATAGCAGCATCTTGATCGTCTCTTCTGAACATAATGATTTTTGTTACAGCAAGGGCATACAAACTCATTGCCAAGCACCTTGTTGACATCGACTTTTCAGTCTGCTAGGGAGCCAGATCTTCCATATTCACCCTTCCCCGTGACTCAGTCAATGCCAATGAAATACAGCAATGCCGCCTCTTCCATCAGTGGTCCGACCATTACTACGACGGAGGTATGCTTTGCTTTATTTTATTGTTTTCTCGATTCTTTTACACTTTTCGAGGTTCTAATTTATTGTTGAACGTATTTAAGGGTTCAAGTGGCCCATAAGGAAAAACATATTCATTTATTCCTCTTTTTTCGCTAATATTTGCATGTGAGCATTTAATGATCATTTAAATTGAAAGAAAATGGAAGAAAAACTTGGGAGAAGTTACTGTGCTCATTTGGTTTTGGTTTGTGTAAAAAGAGAGGAATAAGAGACAGACAAGAAAGGACGAATATAAACTATAAAATATATGTCCTTCATGCAATTTAAAGTTATTTGCATTTTTTTTCAGAGGGAGTCTTATTCAAGATTTTATGAAGCAAGATGAAACTTCATATTCTTATAATTAGTAGTGTCATTGTGTATGTACAGTCATGCATTTATATGTGACCTGATAGCTTTTGGTTTTGAAGACGCATTCTATGGTGAAATGCAAACACACTTGGACTCTTCTTTCCTATCATGTTTTTTTCAAACTAGTTTCTCAACATGTAACGTGACTTTTGACTACTTTTGGCCTTCCCTTAGGGCATTCCTCAATTCTGCATCTGTTTCTACCTGATACGTATTTGATATTGATTATTGTGGGATCCACTTTTTGGGGAATGAGTCACAACAACTAAAATATTTCTTGTGGAACACCTTTCACAATCCATGGAGATATAATAGTTCACTAATAAACGAGTCAGAAAAGGGAGTTAAAACATGTAAAACAATAAAAAACAAGAGAGTTAGGAGTGGGGGTGGTAAAAAGGGAAAAGAGAAGTCCTATTTGGACGCCTAACTTGAACAATTCTGTGATTGGTTAGATTTAATTGTTACTTGCCTGATTAACTTATTGAACATGTGTAGGCTCTAAGAGCAGCTAGAATTTCTGCACCACAGCCTACTCTACAGTCCTTGCCTGGTGCCAAAGTTGCCACAGGACCTGCACTTCAGCAGCATCTAGCCATGCACCCTTTTTCTCAACCTACGCTTCCTTTGGGACACTTTGCCAACATGATTGGTTATCCTTTCTTACCTCAGAGTTACACATATATGCCATCAGCTTTCCAGCAAACATTTGCTGGTAATAGTAACTACCCTCAGTCCCTGGCAGCAATGCTTCCCCAGTTCAAGAACAGTGTTTCTGTTAGCAGCTTGCCTCAACCTGCTGCAGTCCCACCTGGATATGGGTTTGGGAGTTCTACCAACATCCCTGGGGTACACTCTCTCAATCCTCCTACTGCACCTGCAGGCACAATCATTGGCTATGATGATGTTCTTAGTTCTCAGTATAAGGACAACAATCATTTGATGTCACTTCAGCAGGTAATTGCTCTACAAAGCATTGAGAGAGCTCATTTGAATTGAATGATTTGCACTTATTACCAAATGATTGCGTATGATGAAAAGTATGTCCTTCCATTTTCTCCCTTTACACCCAAGGGTCCATGATATCTTGTAGTTCTACAGTATTTATGAATTTAGTTGTTGCCTTCTCTATATTGCTTTGAATCTGAAGGGGGTCCTTTTTATTTATTTGTGTATAGAATGAGAATTCGGCCATGTGGATTCATGGACCTGGCTCACGAACGTTGTCTGCTGTTCCTGCAAGCACATATTACAGCATCCAGGGGCAGAACCAGCAGGCAGATGGGTTTCGACAAGGGCAACAACCACCTTCACAGCATTTTGGGTCTCTCGGATACCCAAGTTTCTACCAATCACAAACAGGAGTATCGCTGGACCATCAACAAAATTCTAGGAACGGGTCCCTGAGTGGGTCTCAAGGCCAGCCACCATCAAAGCAGACCCAACAGCTATGGCCAAACAATTACTAATCTCGTCACCTCCTGGCTTTTCAGGATCTTGTAGTGAGTATAAAAGTGGTCAATCGAAGGCCCTTCTAACGATTGAGAATAACTATATGTACGAGTATGAATATGTATTATCGTCGATGAAGGGTCTGAAGTGACCTTGACTGGCTACTGCCCTGCGATACGAGGTTGTATTCCACTTTACTTTTAGTTCATTGTTCCGTTATGGTGTGGTATGTTAACTTGGGAACACAGCGTGCTAATTTTGGATGGTGGACTTTTCACCCTTTTAATTAATCTGTTGACAAAGCATATGAAGCAACACCACAAATTGCCAGCACCATTGATATCCCCTTCACAACATTTATTTTATCACGGAAAACCACCGTGGCCGCTACCCAGTTATGGACAACCCCAACCCTCCAATTACGTTTGTGAACAAAGCTGACAACTTTGAACACCAATGCCAACCCTCGTAACCTGCCAAGCAATAGCAGTCCAAATCAGAGTCATCAAATAGGAAACACTCCCTAGTGTGTGTAAGTATCCATTTCGAACGCCTCAATTTAAAAAGTGTAACACTAAAAGAAATGTTCTCGGTACCAATTAAAAACTAATAAATCAATTTGTGAACGCATATTACATGTATTAATATTTTAGTTTGTGTAAATAAACAATTTGATAATTAAAATAAAAGAACAATATATTTACTTGAGACTTCTTTTTTATATCTTTAACTAAACAGACTTGATAGCGTTGCACTATTACTTAATTGTAATTTTATTATTAATAAACAATACTAAATATATATATATATATATATATATATATATATATATATATACACACTTGAATCTAAGAACATAAAAGTGGATAAATCAAGACTTGGAATCTGTTTGTTCCCTGCAATTGGTTCTCTAGAAAATGTTTTCCTCATTTTTCAATGTTTGGTTGGTAGAAAACAGATGGTCAATATAATTCATTTCTTTTGTCAACTGAATTTTCTTTGTATTTTCTAGAAAATGACTTACGGTTTAATTTTTCCATAAGTGATTTTACGAACTTTTCACTTCAAATCATAAACAATCAAATATTAATATTTTATATACTTAATATTAATATATTATTTTAGTATCATTTTTATAAAATATTAATTATTAAATTATATTTATTGATAATTTTTTTATAATATAATATAATATTTTTATTTTAATAATATATAATTAATTATTAATCAGATTAATATTATTTATTAATTTCATAAAAATAGTATTATTGAATTGTTAAATATTTAAAATATATTCCTTAAAATATAATATTCTTATTTTAATATTATAATTTTTAATAATTTAGTAATAGTATTATTTACAAGTGAAACAGGAAGCGGTAGCTCTACTGCCTTTTCCGAATGCAGATTCAAGCAGTTTAGCGAAGAAGAAATGAGATCTTTGATCATGGGAGTGTCGAACAAGGAGATAAGATCTACCATTTTTAATATGGCTCCGTTGAAAGCTCCTGGTGCGGATGGATTACATGTTGCATTCTTCCAAAAGAATTGGAATATGGTGAATGTTTCAGTCTTTAATTTTGTGCATGCGTTCTTTGAAAATGGTGTCTTGGAACCTTGGGTGAACAAAACCTTACTGGTGTTGATCCCTAAAGTCAATAATCCAACAAATTTTAGTCAATTCCGACCAATCAGCTTGTGTAACGTGTTGTATAAGGTCATTATTATGGTGAACCGGCTGAAACCATTCCTTCAAGATTAGGTCACTCCGACTCGAGCAAGTTTTGTTCTCGGACGACAAATTACGAATAATATCATCCTTGCTCAGGAGGTTATCCACTCAATGTCAAGGAAATCTGGCGGTAAAGGGTGGATGGTGATTAAGGTCAACGTGGAAAAGACGTATGACAGATTGGAACAAGATTACATTGAAGATACATTATGTAACACCTCAAATTTTGTCTAGTGACTAAAATGTAAGTTCTGAAAGTTTAGTAGCTAAAGTATAAACTTTGTAAAAGTTTAAGGATCAAAAATGGAATTTGAAAAGTTATATATTTTAGCCGAACATTTTGGCCTAAAATAAGAATTTTTGTGATAATCAAATTTTCAATACGGAATTTGTGTTAAAAGCTATAAAGCGATAAAGTTCGGTATTGAAATCGGATAATTGGATCGAACTATAATTTTACGAAAATTTGAAAGATGTTAGATAATGGTGAGAAATATTATTTCCATATATTATATCGGAGAAATTCATCACAGAGTAGTGCAATTTTTCAATTTGGGTCGAATAGTGGAATTTTGGTGACTAAAATATAATTTTTGAAAATTGCATGATCAAAGTGAAAATTCAAAGCCAAGTTGATTCATATTTGACCAATGAATATTTTAATGGAGAATATGAAAATGACAATTGGTAATTTTTAAGTTTCATTAATCGTAAAAATAGAATTTCTTAATAATTGAATTAAAAATTCAATTATATTAGTTTTTAAGCCAAGTGTATGATTAAAATACATTAGAATAATTAAGAATTTTTTACAATTGTCAGCTTCCCTCTTCCACAAGGCCGAAACCTCCATTGTTCAAGGTGAGAAAACTTGTTTTGATTTTTAAAGCTATTTGAATGATTTTTGGACTAAGTTGTGAAATAGAGAATTATTCTACAAGAAATTCTCTATAAATTGGTACCAACATCTCATGGTAAAGATGCTTGTGTATTGAGATTTAATGATCATGGTTTATGTATGGTTTGATTATTTTGAAGAATTGATTAAATATTTTTATGTTTTTAAGGTTGGAGATTAATTCTAAGGTTTTTGTGGTGATTGAAATTATTTATTTATGCTTGTATGATGTTCGACCATACCTAGGATTTATGGGGATGATTGGATTATGATTTAATTTGATGTTGCGATGATTGGAAATGCATGAATTTGATCATAAGAGGTTAAATTCATGCTTGAAATTGAACAAAAAGTTCACCCTAGACAACATGAAGTATTCGGCCATAGGGAAAATGTTGGGACAAAATTATTGAAAATTTTCCTATGGTCTATAATGAATATTATAAGTGTTCCATGTGATTTGGAGGTTGATTTGAATCAATTTGGAAGCTTGAATTAGAAAAAGGGCTAGTTTGTAAGTTATGAGAATTGTGAGACTTAAATGTATCAATGTGCAATTTGAGATACTTAATGTTGATTTTTAATAAGTATATTCTGGAAATTTTAAGATGAAAAGTTAGTTGGACTCAAATCACAATTTGGTTAAATTGTGATGGTGGAATTCGAAAGGTCCCAAAACCTTGGGGACTTGTTTATGATTTTGCAAAAGTGTTGGTACTGTTTTGAACAGGGAATTTCAATGCTGGAAATATTACTGGAATGCTGATTTTTAAGTTTAATCATTGAATTGGGAAAAATTACAAATTTATAAAGTTAGGTGTTGAAAATCAAGTTTAGCAAAGTTTGGGTTGAAAATTGTAATGTTCTTAATGTTGAAGTATAGATTTGGGTATTCTATTGAAGTGCTGGAATTTTAGTTATGAGAAAATAATCTCAATGACCAAAAATGTCTTATAATATACGATTTTAACCAACTTTTTTTGGATTTGCCAAAATGACCAACTAAATCGCAATGCGATCGATAATTCGCAACGCGATCTCCGGTATCGCAAATCAGTTTCCATATTCGCAACGCGAACTTCGACTATCGCATTGCGATTTACATATTCGCATTGCGATAGTCCAAGTTCGCGTTGCGATAGTCGAAGTTCGCGTTGCGATTTTCCAAATTCGTTGCGATAGTCGAAGTTCGCGTTGCGATTTATTCCAAATTCGCGTTGCGATTTATTCCAAGTTCGTTGTGATAGTCGAAGTTCGCGTTGCGATTTATTCCAAATTCGTTGCGAGAGTCGAAGTTCACGTTGCGATTTATTCCAAATTCGTTGCGATAGTCCAAAATCGCAACGACTGGTGGTATTGCATTTGTTTCTTAAGAATTTTCTCTAAAAATATAGTATTCGCGTGGACGTGTCGAAGACACGTATTACCACTACCACTACCACTACCACTACCACTACCACTACCACTACCACTACCACGACCACGACCACGACCACGACCACGACCCGAGACGAGACGGCGGCGGCGGCGGCGCACGAGATTCCCCCTTGTTCTCTATCACTCAACAAGGAAGTGGGAAAGCCAAGCCTTAAATACCATTCCCAATAGTGTTTCCAATACTATGTAGGATTGAGCATTACCAACACTTGTTCCCAATACTATGTGGGATTGAGCCTTAAATAGTGATATTATTTTTGAATGTTTTGCTTAAAATTGCAATAATCGTGATTGATTGTAGATTGACTTTTAATTATGACATATTTAATCGTATAATACTAATGCAATTGGTTGTTGATTCAGTTGTTTTAAGGTGCATGATTGTTAATTGTTTCCTGAATAATCACATTGTATTGGAAACAAGTGTTGGTAATGCTCAATCCCACATAGTATTGGAAACACTATTGTGAATGGTATTTAAGGCTTGGCTTTCCCACTTCCTTGTTGAGTGATAGAGAACAAGGGGGACTCTCGTGCGCCACCGCCATCGCCGTCCATCTCGTCTCGGGTCGGGTCGGGTCGGGTCGAGGTCGTGGTCGTGGTCGTGGTCGTGGTAATACGTGTCTTCGACACGTCCGCGCGAATACTATCTTTTTAGAGAAAATTCTTAAGAAACAAATGCAATACGCAACGAATTTGGAAAATCGCAACGCGAACTTCGACTATCGCAACGAATTTGGAAAGTTTGATATCAATTTAATCTCAATTTTTATTTTATAGGTTTTTATAATGTTAAATGTCGAAATGGGTTTTCTAAAAAAACAAATTTAATTTTTAAATGTGATTTTTTTAAAAGATCTAATCTTGAATAATTTGGTGATTCCTTTTAATAATAAAACATGATTCGAGGAGTCACCACTAATCTTTGATTAGGGTGTGATTGAGCACCTAAAATGTTTTGTCATTTCAATAAAATTTAATTTTAATTAAAATAACAATTTTACAGTCTGCGTTACCAAAAATTTGAGTTCGAAAGTCGGTTACATGTAGGGAAGGATTAGCACCCCCACAGCGCCCTAAATCGGTACCTAATCGATTAATTAGTTGTTTTTGCAATAAAATTTACGAATTCGAGTTTAATTTAATT